AAATCCTGCGGTTTTTGGCAAACCGAGTACCAGAAAATATACATTAAAAAAAGAATAATAATAAACTTTTCATTGTTAGGGGAGCCACAGGGAGGTCAGTGTTAGGGGGCACTGGCCCCCCTAGAACCGCCCCTGGTTCATACAATCATACTGGGATCATTTTTTGTATTAATGTAGACCGGAGGGAGAGAGTGACGAGCATAAGTTTCACTTTCCTTTTTTATTTCAATTCCAACTTTGGTCATGAAGAATATGTTTCTCTGTTGTCCATGTTCATAAAGCATAAAACAACAGCATCAGAGCACGGTGCAGAGTCTCTAGATCAGTTTACAGTAGTCCCTCGTTCTTATTAAACATCCATGTTGTAGTCCGCTGTATAGAAAACTGTAGTTTCCATAGTTTCCCCACAGCAGCAGACGCTCAAAATGACGTCCACTGGCGCATCATAAACACGTCGGATAGTGAAAGTGCATTCGGATTCTCTAAAGTAACGCGGTCTCTTCTCCTAAGTCCTTTTGAATTCTCCTATCCACTATCCCTTAACCCCGTGACGTTTCACTCAGAGGTCAACGAATAGGAGATAGGGTTAGAACTTAGGAGCAGATTTTTAAACTATCCGAACGCAACCAAGTTCTCATTTCTCTAACCGCCTGCTGCTTCCCCTCCTCTCTCCTCGGTTCCCCTCCTCAGTCCTCCGCTCGCATCTCCTGTGGGCGGCACCAAGTCTCGAGGAGGGGAGTCGAGGATAGAAGTCGAGGAGGGGACATTTGAGTATTGAGAGAAACCTCTGATGAAAGCAGTTTCTAAAATAATATCCAGGGGATGCATGCAGAGCTGTCATTGGCTGAGATAAGTCCGGCCGTGCGTCACGCCTCCACCGTTCCCGGAAATGCATCCGCGGAGGAGCCGTGGAGGAACCATCAGTGTATCCTCAGTTAGAGCTCCTCCAGAGAGCCTCCTCGACGCACGATCCTTGGTGTGCATTTAGAGAAATTAAATGTCCTTCAAAATGGCGCGCTGAAATTCATTTCCGGGTCACTACCGGAGGACCGAGGAGTCGAGGAGTCGAGGAGGGGACATTTGAGTATTGAGAAGCCTCTTATGTTTCTGTTCCTGTGAGTGTTCCTGAATCCTGTGTTCTTCAATTTCCCATCTCTCATTGCCTAAATGTATGTGGTTGTATGAAAGAGAAGGTCTGGAGTGTCAAAATAAAGAAAATGGTTGACTTATTTTGACCCAAATGTTATGCAATAATGCATGTAAATAAAATAAAAAGATTGGAGTTTCAAACTGATGAATAAAGTTCACTTTTTATGGGTAAACTAAACACTTGTCATTATTCTTTCCTGTTCTTTCTCTCCAGTGGACGAGAGCTTTGGACCTCACTTTACAATACAAACAAACAGTCATAAGCATTTGTCAATTTAAAAACACATTCACACATTTCTTATAAATAAATAAAATTCATTTTCAGATTACTGTTATGCAGAGTAGCTTATTTTTTATAAGCTACTCTGCATAACAGTAATCTGAAAATGAATTTATGCAACAAAAACACTTCACCACTCATCCAATTACAAATAGAGAATGTATGTTAACGCTGTTTAAGTATACGGTAGTGTTAAGAGTTTAAGAGACATCCTTTGTAGAACATGTACATGCTTTCATGTTAACAAACAGCATGATCTTTCAATCACTGCCCATCACATTTTGACACATAGTATTCCATTAAAAATGTGAAAAATATAAAAGTTCATTGTTATACTTTTTGGGCTTATTGTTGTAAACATTTTTACATGGGTAGTACATTCTTAACTCAAGTTGTGTAAATCTTAAAGTGAAGATTTTAACTACTGTTGTTAATATTATTTCAAATTGACCTCGTAAAGTATATACTTTAACTCCTGGAGTTGTTTATTGTATTCTAATGGTGTTTATCAATTTTGTGTTAATATTTTACACTCCAATATATATTCTAACACTGTGTAAAAAACACATTAAAGTTTAGATGTGAAAAATAATGCATTTATACTATTAATGCATTTATGGGTTTTTCTTTAGCGCCACTAGAGGGAGACAGAGTAAAGGCCTGGGCTCGAACCTGGATCTTGGATCTCTTTTGCTAGCCATCTAATCCTACTGGGGACCGCCGCTCTAAAGGGTGAGCTAGACGGCGGACCTTCTATCAATTAGTATTTAGTTACTTATATATTTGTTTATGTGTTTTTTTTTTTTTTTTTAAATACATATCTGTCTTCAACACTCACTACTAGATCCAGTGGCGAGCCGTGACTTTTATACCTAGGCCCTCTGACCTAATAATGAGTTATTACGTCTCAGCATATAGGCTACTTCAGCGGAATATCAAAACAACGGCCCGGGGTGCAAAACGCATCAATGGCAGCGACCCTCTACCACACAAAACAACACCATTTATATAAACACCTATCATGACATGGCACCCACAGCCAAGTAACAATTACAAATTAATTAAGTCGGCACGGCGGCCCACATTGAAAATGACGTAGGCCTACCTTTGATGATCAAATCATCCTCCTGTCCTTTTGGATGAAGCACTTGATGGCGGGTCATGCAGCTGATACTTTGCCACTCCAGTTTATCATTGTAACTCAATCTTGAAAATGACTCGGTTAATAATTTCTCAACGATGTCATCACTATCACTGAAGTGAACCATCATGAACGAATTTATGCTAATTATAAATCTATCGATCATAAATCTATCGATTAGATTTATGATTCGAAAATAATAAAAGTAGACCTGTGGATAGTATCAGGCTGAACAAAACGTGCATGTATCTAACAGGTTAACAAGTGTAGGTGTGTGTGTGTGGTACAGTGTGTAGGTGTGTGTTGTACAGTGCGTAGATGCGGCGGACAGACGGGTCTCAGTTGGTTTGGTGTCCTATGCTTAAATTGTAATACTTGTACAACTTTTGGCCCGTAATTTCAATTCCCCATTGCAGTGACCAAAGAGAGGGGGGGGGGGGATCTATCCAGTCTCTGATTGGGTTACGTTATTATGAGAGTGCTCTCATACTTGTTTGATTCTGAAATTGTATATATTTATATAAATATATGTGTGTGTGTGTGTGTGTGTGTGTGTGTATATGTCCGCATCTGTAGCCTGTTATTGTCGCATTATACCGCACTGTGAATGAATTAAAAGTAAATATATATGTAACTGTCTTCACTTTCTGTTGTTTATTTTGTTGCACGTTGTATTTTTGGTTCCTACCTTTTATGTTGAACATTATTAGAGGCGGAACTAATCTGCTGTGTTTTGTGTTACACCTGTTTGTTTAATCGACGCACTTGATAGTCGCAACTGCAGAGCAACGCATAATGTAAAGAAAATCTAAGGAAACCAAGGGAAAATGCATATAAAGTTATCAGCCCCTCTAGGTGACTAGCAGCCTACGAGGTACGTTTTCGTGCTGGTTGTTTGTGTAATTGTGTGCGGTTGAGCTACAGGTTTGTGTATGTATGCTATGCGCTAGCTTGTGCTACATGCTATTGTTAGCTTGTGCTACTTGCTGTGTGGGATATGTGCGCCGTTTATTGTTTCATTGGCGGCATTAACAGTGATGACATATGCATATATTACATATTTATTTGTTGTTTACCTTTTATATTTGTCTGTCTTATAACCCAGTTCTCACGGGTTGGAATAGGTCCCACAAGAATAAACCCCGTATTTAATCAAGACCTCAGCCTCGTGTCATTTACTGGAGGGAGCTACAGTGAGAACTCGACTGCTCCGCATGAGTAGACTAGTAAAACGGCGCCAGACGGCAGCGATCCATGGACGGCACGGGACATCTCCGTAGCAGCGTGTACAGCTGTAGCAGCCATCTACACAGCAGCACAAGATCCAACTACTTCTGGAAGGTCCAGGTGCTTTAGTGTAAATGTAGGTGCAACAAAGAGACTTTAAAGTGCCATACAAAGAAAATGGGACATTTGCATTGTTCATATAATCTGTGTTAATGTTATTTACTTACCTTTCAAATGGAAGTTAAAGGTTGTTAATATTGATTTGTGTATTAAGGTATCTGCAGTAAGTATTTGCAGACTAAGTAACAAAGTACATTTAAAGGACAATATCTTTCAAGTAATAAGTGTTGAAGAAATGTACCACGTTTTTTTGTGGTTTGCCTATATCATTATCACTTGTGATTTTCATTTAAATAAGGCTCAATAGCTGCGTATAAGCTTAAGGTAACTCAAACCTAATATCTAAATTGACTAACTACTTAGCTTTAAAGATAATTAAATATTAGAGTTAAAACCAAACTTAAGTAAACAAGTAAAATGTCAGATGTTGAGTCTTACACTAAGAGTGATGAAGTGAGTGTAGTAGAAAACGAGCAACCACAGGCAACTGAAGATCCGAAAATGGATAGCCTTTCCACACAAGAGCCACAAAGGAGCCAAAGAGTCCGGAAGTTAACGGAAAAGGGTCAAGAACTGCACGATGAGCAAGTAACAAGACTTGTGCACCGTTTCAGTGTGAGCTACAAAAGGTGAAAAGATATCACAAAGGAAGCCAAACAAGCGCTAAGTGGTCAATGCTCTAATGACCTGCTGCATGAATACATCACTAAGGTAAGCAAGACCTCCAATGATGTAAATATTGCTTATGAAGAGTTGAGGCTCATTGACATTCCCGACCATGAAACACGTCGCAGAGAAGACACCTGTGAAGCAGTTACAAAGACAATAATTGAGACTGCAAGAGAACGAATGGACACAAGAAAGGACAAAAGTCATGAAGAAGAAGAAATTGGTAAAAACCAGACAGAGTCTGTATGCAAATCTGTTGCCTCTGTTAAGAGAAGTAATGGCTCTCATGTCACCAGGTCCTCGACTCATTCTCGTAGCAACTCGAGAGCCACATCAAGAAGTTCATTGCTCTCTTCTATCAAAAGACAAGAAGCCGCTGCTGAAATTGCTGCAAATGAAGCGACTTTAGAAGTAATGTTAGAACAGGAACAACAGATCGAAGAACTTGATATACTGGAGGCTGAAGCTGCTCAGTTAAGAGCCAAACAGATTGCTGAAGCTGCTCAGTTAACAGCCAAACAGGAGGCAGAAAATGCTGAGAGACAAAGACAGTTACAAGCCAAGCGCAGACAACTAGAGCGATTAGAAACAGTAAAGAAGCTAAAAGCTGCAAAAGCGAGACATCAAGTATATGAACAGAATGCATGCTCAGACGAAGAAATTAGCGAGCTGCTCCATCAACATGTTCCTCTGGTTGTGAAAGAAGAACTCAAGCATAAAAGCAGTGAACTGCAAAACCACTCACCACCTCAAGCTGCGACACAACAAAAACAAGAAGACAGTACTTCAGCTCTTATCAGAGCTCTTGCAGAGTCCATCAGTGCAAGTCGTCTACCTGTACCTGAACCTACAACGTTCAGTGGTGACCCACTGAGGTTAAATGACTGGAAGGTCTCCTTTCGTACACTCGTTGACAGGAAAAACATCCCAGCTGAAGAAAATATATACTATCTAAGAAAGTATGTGGGTGGACCCGCCAAGAAGGCCATAGAGAGCTACTTCCTGCTAGGCACAGAGTCAGCCTATCATGCCGCGTGGACCATCCTAGAAGAGAGGTACGGTAATCCTTTCCTCATTGCTAAGGCCTTCAGAGATAAGCTTGATGCATGGCCCAAGATAAGTTCCAAAGACAGCGTAGAACTTCAAGAGCTCTCTGACTTCCTTCGCAGCTGTGAGGCTGCCATGTCACAGATCAAAGGACTTGAGGTACTTAACGACTGCAACGAAAACCAAAGGATACTTGCTAAACTTCCAGACTGGTTGACCTCAAGTTGGAACAGAAAGGTCACAGAAATGGAAGAACAAAATCACACGTTCCCAACCTTAAGCCAGTTTGTTAAATTTCTCACACGTGAAGCCAAAATAGCTTGCAACCCAATAACATCTCTCCATGCTCTAAAATCAAGAGAAAGCGAAAAAGGCAAGATTTTAAGAAGTCCTGTATCAAACGTATTGACTACAGAGACAAATGAAACAGCAGACGCCACAAACTGTCTTTTCTGTGAGAAGGCAGGACACGGTCTGCACAAATGTTACAAATTCAGGAATGAGACAATCTCTGAGCGAGTCAAGTTTCTTCAAGAAAATAAGTTGTGCTTTGGCTGTTTAAAATCTGGCCATCGCTCAAAGGAATGTAAAAACAGAAAGATATGCGAAACATGCGAAAAGGGACATCCAACTTGTCTCCACGACAATCGCACCAGAGAAGAAAGAATGTCAACAAACCATGATGGGGAAAGAGAAAGCACAATGGAACGTCCACAAGGTAAAGCGGCAAGCACACCACATGAGGCAACATCCAATACAGTCTTCCAGAATGTTAAAGTCCCCCATACATCCACAATCGTTCCAGTGTGGGTGTCAGCCACAAGTGAGCCACATAGGGAAATACTTGTGTATGCACTCCTCGATACACAGAGTGACACAAGCTTTATCCTTGAAGAAACGGCAAAGGCTCTTCACACAAAGAATGAAACAGTGCAGCTAAAGCTCTCCACAATGGCTTCAAGAAACACAGTCGTGTCATGCAGGAAGCTAACTGGTCTCCAAGTGAGAGGAATCTACTCGGACAGGATAATACCTCTGCCAGTAACCTACTCAAGAGAATTCATCCCAGCAAACAGAGACCATATTCCCACACCAGAGACTGCGAAAGCATGGCCTCATCTTGAACACCTCGCAGATGAGATCGCTCCTCAGCAAAGCTGTGATGTTGGCCTGCTTATCGGCTACAACATGTTCCCAAGCTCTCGTCCCAAGAGAAGTGGTGCCTGGTGAAGGAAACCAGCCCTTTGCACAGGGAACAGATTTGGGCTGGAGTGTTGTCGGCTTTGGCAATCCCTGTCTCGACATTGGAGATATGATTGGAGTAAGTCACCAGGTAACCGTGAAGCAAGTGATACCAAGTCTCCAGTCTTCAAACCTCCCAAGGGAAGTACACTACGTCTGTAGAACACAGATTAAGGAAGTCTCACCTGCAGATGTCGTCGAGGTGCTGGAATCTGACTTTGTCGAAAGAGCTTCTGAAGATAACTCTGCAGATCAGGCCTCCAAAGGTCTCACAGCACAGCAACTTCAAGCCTCAAATGGGTTCACAGGCCCATACCTACTTTGGCAGAAAGAGCTACCAAGTGGAGAAGTCAAGGTGGGAGAGATCGTGAGTAGTGACCCAGAGCTTAAGAAGGCCCAGGTTCATGATACCCAGGCAAACGAAGTAAAGTCGCTACTAGATCACCTTCACAAATTCTCAGACTGGTCAAGAGTGGTTAAAGCCTTTGCCAGACACAAGCGCCTTGCAAAGGAAATTAAAGGTCTCAAGCCAAGGTCCTGTGAAGCCACATGCTTAGAGGAGAGGAGAGAAGCAGAGCTGACCATAATCGAGATGGTTCAAGAAGCAACACTCTCTCAAGAAATAAAGTGCCTTCAGCAGCATAAGGAGTACCATCTCCAACAAAGACCAAAGTGGATCAAGGACCGCAGAAACGTCAAGGTAAATGACGTTGTCATTCTGCAAGACAACACTATACCACGTGGCCAATGGAAGCTGGCCAGGGTTGTGGAAGTGTACCCAGGAGGGGATGGAAGAGTGAGAAGGCTCAAGCTGCTTATCAGCGACTCTACCCTGGATGTAAAGGGAAAGCGCCTCGCTAAACCTGTCTACCTCGAAAGGCCTATTCACAAGACGGTGTTGTTGTTGGAAGCAGACTAAGACTCAGTTACTCTCACTCACACTCTGCACTTAATAGGTCTAAAACGAAATAGTTAGTTTTACATTAATGTATATCGGTTTTTCTAAAAAAATTATGGAAATCACAGGTGATTTGGTGGGAGTGTAACTGTCTTCACTTTCTGTTGTTTATTTTGTTGGACGTTGTATTTTTGGTTCCTACCTTTTATGTGCAACATTATTAGAGGCGGAACTAATCTGCTGTGTTTTGTGTTACACCTGTTTGTTTAATCGACGCACAACTGCAGAGCAACGCAGAATGTAAAGAAAATCTAAGGAAACCAAGGGAAAATGCATATAAAGTTATCAGCCCCTCTAGGTGACTAGCAGCCTACGAGGTATGTTTTCGTGCTGGTTGTTTGTGTAATTGTGTGCGTTTGAGCTGCAGGTTTGTGTGTGTATGTATGTATGTATGCTATGCGCTAGCTTGTGCTACATGCTATTGTTAGCTTGTGCTACTTGCTGTGTGGGATATGTGCGCCGTTTATTGTTTCATTGGCGGCATTAACAGTGATGACATATGCATATATTACATATTTATTTGTTGTTTACCTTTTATATTTTTCTGTCTTATAACCCAGTTCTCACAGGTTGGAATAGGTCCCACAAGAATAAACCCCGTATTTAATCAAGACCTCAGCCTCGTGTCATTTACTGGAGGGAGCTACAATATAAGTCATCATGAACACATCTGTCCATCAGACAGAGGGCTGCTGTGCCTCCTGTCATCATTAACGGACGTCTCTTTAAAATGACCGCTCAGAGGAGAGGAGGGCTGCAGTCGAATAGTCCATTTAGCTTAGAAACCTTCCTAACGGAGTGAAATGACCCGGAAGTCCCTCAGTGGCAGCCATGATAAGTGCCGTTCGAATTCTCTAGAATGATAGGAAAGGAGGTTTCAAACTTCCTTTATAACCTCCTTTAGCTTAGGAAGCACTGGACCTCCCTAACCGAAAGGAGAGGAGAAAATGCTGCCCCACAATGCCTTGCAGCCGCAGCATTTGACGTCACACAACAGTCGGCCGTTCACGGAAACAATCGATTATGACGGAGAAATTATATCATGAAAGTTACGGTGCTTATTAAACTTTTTAAAACGTATGTGGTAAGTTGCCAAAGTGCTTTGTTTTGAACGTTCATCAATATTATAATCAAAAAGAGAAATATGAACGTTAGTTTTTACTGAAATGATCAAATAAAGTCAACATTTCACTGAGCTGTGTGGGGTTTGTTCAACTTTTAAAAGATGTTTGAATGGTGATGTACACAGTGATAGGTGTTAAAGACTCACGTTTATAATAAATACATTGGTATTGATTTTAAGATATTTTCATAGTTCATACAATCATACTGGGATCATTTTTTGTATTAATGTAGACCGGAGGGAGAGGGTGATGAGCATAAGTTTCACTTTCCTTTTTTATTTCAATTCCAACTTTGGTTATGAAGAATATGTTTCTCTGTTGTCCACGTTCATAAAGCATAACACAACAGCATCAGAGCACGGTGCAGAGTCTCTAGATGAGTTTACAGTAGTCCCTCGTTCTTATTAAACATCCATGTTGTAGTCCGCTGTATAGAAAACTATAGTTTCCATAGTTTCCCCACAGCAGCAGACGCTCAAAATGACGTCCACTGGCACATCATAAACACGTCGAATAGTGAAAGTGCAGTCGGATTCTCTAAAGCACCGCAGTCTCTTCTCCTAAATCCTTTTGAATTCTCCTATCCACTATCCCTTAACCCCGTGACGTTTCACTCAGAGTTCAACGAATAGGAGATAGGGTTAGAACTTAGGAGCAGATTTTTAAACTATCCGAACGCAACCAAGTTCTCATTTCTCTAACCGCCTGCTGCTTCCCCTCCTCTCTCCTCGGTTCCCCTCCTCAGTCCTCCGCTCGCATCTCCTGTGGGCGGCACCAAGTCTCGAGGAGGGGAGTCGAGGATAGAAGTCGAGGAGGGGACATTTGAGTATTGAGAGAAACCTCTGATGAAAGCAGTTTCTAAAATAATATCCAGGGGATGCATGCAGAGCTGTCATTGGCTGAGATAAGTCCGGCCGTGCGTCACGCCTCCACCGTTCCCGGAAATGCATCCGCGGAGGAGCCGTGGAGGAACCATCAGTGTATCCTCAGTTAGAGCTCCTCCAGAGAGCCTCCTCGACGCACGATCCTTGGTGTGCATTTAGAGAAATTAGATGTCCTTCAAAATGGCGCGCTGAAATTCATTTCCGGGTCACTACCGGAGGACCGAGGAGTCGAGGAGTCGAGGAGGGGACATTTGAGTATTGAGAAGCCTCTTATGTTTCTGTTCCTGTGAGTGTTCCTGAATCCTGTGTTCTTCAATTTCCCATCTCTCATTGCCTAAATGTATGTGGTTGTATGAAAGAGAAGGTCTGGAGTGTCAAAATAAAGAAAATGGTTGACTTATTTTGACCCAAATGTTATGCAATAATGCATGTAAATAAAATAAAAAGATTGGAGTTTCAAACTGATGAATAAAGTTCACTTTTTATGGGTAAACTAAACACTTGTCATTATTCTTTCCTGTTCTTTCTCTCCAGTGGACGAGAGCTTTGGACCTCACTTTACAATACAAACAAACAGTCATAAGCATTTGTCAATTTAAAAACACATTCACACATTTCTTATAAATAAATAAATAAAATTCATTTTCAGATTACTGTTATGCAGAGTAGCTTATAAAAAATAAGCTACTCTGCATAACAGTAATCTGAAAATGAATTTATGCAACAAAAACACTTCACCACTCATCCAATTACAAATAGAGAATGTATGTTAACGCTGTTTAAGTATACGGTAGTGTTAAGAGTTTAAGAGACATCCTTTGTAGAACATGTACATGCTTTCATGTTAACAAACAGCATGATCTTTCAATCACTGCCCATCACATTTTGACACATAGTATTCCATTAAAAATGTGAAAAATATAAAAGTTCATTGTTATACTTTTTGGGCTTATTGTTGTAAACATTTTTACATGGGTAGTACATTCTTAACTCAAGTTGTGTAAATCTTAAAGTGAAGATTTTAACTACTGTTGTTAATATTATTTCAAATTGACCTCGTAAAGTATATACTTTAACTCCTGGAGTTGTTTATTGTATTCTAATGGTGTTTATCAATTTTGTGTTAATATTTTACACTCCAATATATATTCTAACACTGTGTAAAAAACACATTAAAGTTGTGAAAAATAATGCATTTATACTATTAATGCATTTATGGGTTTTTCTTTAGCGCCACTAGAGGGAGACAGAGTAAAGGCCTGGGCTCGAACCTGGATCTTGGATCTCTTTTGCTAGTCATCTAATCCTACTGGGGACCGCCGCTCTAAAGGGTGAGCTAGACGGCGGACCTTCTATCAATTAGTATTTAGTTACTTATATATTTGTTTATGTGTTTTTTTTTTATTTTTAAATACATATCTGTCTTCAACACTCACTACTAGATCCAGTGGCGAGCCGTGACTTTTATACCTAGGCCCTCTGACCTAATAATGAGTTATTACGTCTCAGCATATAGGCTACTTCAGCGGAATATCAAAACAACGGCCCGGGGTGCAAAACGCATCAATGGCAGCGACCCTCTACCACACAAAACAACACCATTTATATAAACACATATCATGACAGGGCACCCACAGCCAAGTAACAATTACAAATGAATTAAGTCGGCACGGCGGCCCACATTGAAAATGACGTAGGCCTACCTTTGATGATCAAATCATCCTCCTGTCCTTTTGGATGAAGCACTTGATGGCGGGTCATGCAGCTGATACTTTGCCACTCCAGTTTATCATTGTAACTCAATCTTGAAAATGACTCGGTTAATAATTTCTCAACGATGTCATCACTATCACTGAAGTGAACCATCATGAACGAACTTATGCTAATTATAAATCTATCGATCATAAATCTATCGATTAGATTTATGATTCGAAAATAATAAAAGTAGACCTGTGGATATTATCAGGCTGAACAAAACGTGCATGTATCTAACAGGTTAACAAGTGTAGGTGTGTGTGTGTGGTACAGTGTGTAGGTGTGTGTTGTACAGTGCGTAGATGCGGCGGACAGACGGGTCTCAGTTGGTTTGGTGTCCTATGCTTAAATTGTAATACTTGTACAACTTTTGGCCCGTAATTTCAATTCCCCATTTCAGTGACCAGAGAGAGGGGGGGGGGGGGGGATCTATCCAGTCTCTGATTGGGTTACGTTATTATGAGAGTGCTCTCATACTTGTTTGATTCTGAAATTGTATATATTTATATAAATATATGTGTGTGTGTGTGTGTGTATATGTCCGCATCTGTAGCCTGTTATTGTCGCATTATACCGCACTGTGAATGAATTAAAAGTAAATATATATGTAACTGTCTTCACTTTCTGTTGTTTATTTTGTTGCACGTCGTATTTTTGGTTCCTACCTTTTATGTTGAACATTATTAGAGGCGGAACTAATCTGCTGTGTTTTGTGTTACACCTGTTTGTTTAATCGACGCACTTGATAGTCGCAACTGCAGAGCAACGCAGAATGTAAAGAAAATCTAAGGGAACCAAGGGAAAATGCATATAAAGTTATCAGCCCCTCTAGGTGACTAGCAGCCTACGAGGTACGTTTTCGTGCTGGTTGTTTGTGTAATTGTGTGCGGTTGAGCTACAGGTTTGTGTATGTATGCTATGCGCTAGCTTGTGCTACATGCTATTGTTAGCTTGTGCTACTTGCTGTGTGGGATATGTGCGCCGTTTATTGTTTCATTGGCGGCATTAACAGTGATGACATATGCATATATTACCAGGGCCGCCCCTCCCTACAGGCCAATCACGCAGGCTGCATGGGGCCCCACCTTGCGCAGGGGGCCCCGCCCAGAGGGCCTCAGCTGCTGTGCGCAGTTCTCCGCTCAGTTCTCGGTCATTGAGGTGACAAGGGGAGCACGTCTGTAACCCGACACCGTTGCAATGAATCGACATCTGACCAATCATGGCTTTGATACGGCCACTAGTGCAGGTGAAGAGATGTCGGTGAAAAGACAGTTTCAGTCCGGCGCAAGCAAGAGGGGAAAAAAACAAAACATGAAGAAACTAGAGCATCATTCGAAGGTGGGTTATTGTTTGAGTTAAATGTACAACTTGCGAATGTTGTATAAGTCAAATTGCCAATTGCCATATTAAAACATCAGCTGCAATTCAGGACATGAAGAAGGCAGTCTCTGCATAGCATATAGGCTAATGGAGATGCAGTTATTTCCAGCATTCTTTATTTACCATTCATTCTAGTATGTTATGCCTTTTATCTGCTAATGTACAGGAGGAAGAGTGATACACTGTCTGTCTAGTTGGCTTACATAACAGTTAAAGTTTACAGCCTAAAAAACATGGAGCATGTTTTCCCCTTTTATTCATTTTTATGTCAATTTGCACATTTCATGGTGATGCTCAGCCTCTGCCCTTAACTCCTAACAGTCATCGTCATGTCAACCACAACACAGAGAAATACTGATAGAAATGTGTGTCTAGTTGTTGATGCATTGCTGACAGAGGGAACTACATTTGAATACAGATTTAAGAAATATCAGTTTTTGAGCATGTCATAAGCATGTTTTGTATTACAACTATATTATAATAAAATAATATAGTATTTATATTATTGAATTGATTATGTTTATTATTATTAGTAGAAGTAGTTTATTTGCATTCATTATATTTTAATCTTTTTGAGGCTAGTATTTGGCAGGAAATGCAGACGTATTCACCTGTAAACGCATACTGAACGAGATACATGCACATTTACCATTTACCTCACTGTATACAAAAGTAACTGTGTTGATAATAATAATAAACAGGAATGATATTTGCAAAGTAGCCTACTTTGTTTCCAAAACTTTTTTTTCACTCCTGTCGGTTGGGGGGGGGGGGCCTCATCTCACAATGTCGCTTGGGGCCCCAAATTGGCCAGGCCCTGAAAATAAGGACCCCCTCCCCACGCCCCTCTGAGAGACATTTGGTTACAAAGAACTCAATGGTGCTCTAGGAGGAGATTCAGGTGATAAGGGAGGGGGGGGGGGGTTACCTTGGTTGGTGATTGGCTAATGGTAACACAAGACTAAACATCGTTATGACATCATAAAGTGGCTAAAATCTGATCAGCTCATTTTCAGACAGGTTTTTATATAAATGGATCAAAAAGAGAGAGAAACTTTCAGAGTCTCTTTCCACAGAGGGGACGCATGTTGATGTAGAAGAGACATGAAGAAGAGGGGACACATGTTGATGTAGAAGAGACATGGAGAAGAGGGGACACATGTTGATGTAGAAGAGACATGGAGAAGAGGGGACACATGTTGATGTAGAAGAGACATGGAGAAGAGGGGACACATGTTGATGTAGAAGAGACATGGAGAAGAGGGGACACATGTTGATGTAGAAGAGACATGGAGAAGAGGGGACACATGTTGATGTAGAAGAGACATGAAGAAGAGGGGACACATGTTGATGTAGAAGAGACATGGAGAAGAGGGGACACATGTTGATGTAGAAGAGGGGACACATGTTGATGTAGAAGAGACATGGAGAAGAGGGGACACATGTTTATGTAGAAGAGACATGGAGAAGAGGGGACACATGTTGATGTAGAAGAGACATGAAGAAGAGGGGACACATGTTGATGTAGAAGAGACATGAAGAAGAGGGGACACATGTTGATGTAGAAGAGACATGAAGAAGAGGGGACACATGTTGATGTAGAAGAGACATGAAGAAGAGGGGGGACATGTTGATGTAGAAGAGACATGAAGAAGAGGACACATGTTGATGTAGAAGAGTCATGAAGAAGAGGGGACACATGTTGATGTAGAAGAGACATGAAGAAGAGGGGACACATGTTGATGTAGAAGAGACATGAAGAAGAGGGGACACATGTTGATGTAGAAGAGACATGAAGAAGAGGGGACACATGTTGATATAGAAGAGACATGAAGAAGTGGATTTTGCATAATAGGTGACCTTTAAAGCTCTTGCACCAACTCCCCCCTAGAGAGCGCTGTTTCACACATATTGACCCATACTGTATGTGTCCAGTAATGCAAAATGTGTCACAGTTTTGAATTATTACTTTAAGAGATTCATTAATCCTTCATCGTCGATTTTAACCTTTAAATTATGGTTTTGTTCTGACCGCTCAGGTCTCCAGTGTGACTCTCGTACCAGAGAGTCTTCTCTCTTTCTGGTCTGGGATCAGATCATCCTCTCACAAACAAACCAAAGACTCGGTGCCTCCAGGGACGTTTGGTCAGAGTGCTTCAGTCGGCTTAGGCCACACAAAGTGAGAAACAGACACATGATGGGGAGGACACTGGAAACAATGCTGCTCCATAAACAAGTAAAACAAGTTGTTTTCACCTGAAATAACTACAACAATCTGCCAATAGAACAAGTGAAAATGTGCTTGGTAAGATTTCTTGAAATAAGATGGGATATTTAGATGAATCAGATCTTGTAATTAACTGGGAGAACTTATTTTAAACTATATTTGACCAGGATCAGGAAATGTTGTGTTACAATATAAGCCGCAAATGCTGAAAAGTGTTCTGTTTTCTGATGTTAGTTGGTGATGTTAGTTACAAGATGATGCATCGTCTCAAAACAAGACCCGATATCTCACTGCAGTGTCACTTCTGAAGTTATTATTTCTTATATCAGATGTAAAGACATATTCTGACTAGATATTAGACGAATAAACTGGGCAAGATTTTGAGTGTTTGTAGAGAGTTATGAGGAATTTCCAAATGTGCTGAAAGACTTCCTGTATTTCTGCAGGTCTGCTGCTGCGTCCAAACTGAAGCTCCTGCAGTCAGACGGCTGGCTGGACGGACATACGGTCTCTCTCCACTTCACCTTGTTCAGCCCTGCACCAAACCTGTTCACCAGTGTGACCCTGCACACTGAGCAGAGCCCCCCCCGCTGGCCTACTGCCCTCTGCCAGGGTCCAGTCAGTGGGGGGCTGTCACTCTCCTGCTGTGGGGGAATATGGTGTCATGGTGTGCCAGCAGTGCTTGAATTGGAATGAAAAAGGTGCCAGTACTCTAAAATCAGCAACTTTTTCAAGTCAATTTTATATATACAACTATAATGCTGGTGGGTTTGTCTCTTTACTACTGTATATTTTAGAAAGGTTCACTGTACTTAACATTTTTTATGATAGGCAGCGGATATGGCTAAAGCTCAGTAAGGTCAATATTAACTGAAAATATAGCAATCAAAGTCTAGATCTTCTGCTGAAGACACATGAAGCAGAGACCTTTCAGGTGAGAGCCCCTCTGGTGGTGTTCAACATTAATGACAAGGAAACAAAGCTCTGGTCAGAAGCATTTTTTATAAAAAGCTTTAACAAAATTAAGTATTTCTGTACATTTTGAATGCAATCTAACTTTCCAACTCAGAAAACGAAAAACGAAAAAGTGCCAAAAGTCTTCTCACATGGCTGAGCTGCTTTGCAATATACTTCACCACTGAAGAATACAAATATGTATAAAGTAAACTATGATGCAATCTAACTTTCCAACTCAGAAAAATGATAAAGAGGATGAACAAAGAACATGTAAAAACAAATGCAAAATTTGCACAATCTAAAATGAGAAACTGTAACTGCAAGTAACAAAGTCTGAGCCATGGTAAAGAGTTACATTGAACACCAAGCTGATCAGATAACTCCCTGGTTGGTCTGAAGTCCTTCTATCTCCAGGATCTGTACAAATCGGCACATTATGCCAAAAGTCTTCTCACTGGGTGAGCTGCTTTGCAATATACTTCACATTGTTAGAAAAGGCTCCAGAAGGCCTTGGGGACATCAGTATCAGGGGCTGGAGCTGGACAGGCTCTTTCATCAGCACTTCTCCTTCCCTTTGCCAGCCAGGACCTCACATACTGTTCCGGATTGAACTGTCCTAGTGATGGTCCATTACATTTAATGAAAACCAGGCTGGACAGTCAGCTGACAGAGAGAGCATTCCTTTTTGCAGTAAGGATATCGTTCATGCAGCTGAATGCCCGCTCACACTCACTAGTGGAGACAGCGATGGTTCGGACTGCTTTCAGTAGAGGCTCCATGGCAGCAGGTGTACGGGATGCCCTGGTTTCCTTGTATTCGCGAAAGCCCTGAACAGTCTCTCTTCTGTCCACTTTCAGCACTTCGCACAAACGTAGCACCTCTACGTCCCCATACTGTACGTCTAACTCCTCTTCAGGCCAACTTCCAGGATGGATAACTTTCATGTCCTGGATTAGCTGATTGTCCCGGGCCTCCCGGCCATGTAATGGGATTTCTCTTGTGCTGACATGAGAGGAGGTTGTGGAAGTCATTCTGTGTCTCAGATTCTCTACCATACTGTGGAAAAAACTGACCTGCATGAATCTGTACAAGCCTGCCATTCTCACGCAGGGCAACACCCTTGAAGGACTTCTCAGCTAGAGCTGTATGAACTGTAGTCATGTGTGGGCCAGGCATGGTGACCATGGATTCAAAAACTCGTATTTCTCGAGTTAAGAGCCTATCTGCTGTAGGCAGTGTCATCTCTCTTTTTTGGAGTTGCCGAGAGAGGTCGCTGAGCTCTGTGAGCGCATCGTACATCAGTCCCAGATTGCTGACAAACGTTGCAGATGTGAGCACATCATCCAGGCCCTTGTACTTTGCTCTGTCTCTGGAATCCCTGCTTGTGTCGTTTGCAGCATTTGTGAAGTGATCATGAAGCACTCGGTAGTTTTCCCAGACTGCTCTGACGCTCCTTTCACTTGAAGCCACCCAGCGGATGGACAAAACACGCCCTATCACCAGGAGACGCTGTCCGACTGCTTGCGCACACTGCGCTAACTGCCTCTGATTTTTGGGGGAGGCATGGAACAAGGAATAGAGTTTGTCAAAAAAGATCTGGAAATGATTGAGCCCTGAGACCTCCTTGACCACATCCCCAACTGCCAGCTCTAGACGATGATTGGAGCGGTGCCACACAAACAGGCTTGGGAATTTACTACACAACTGGGTAGCAACGCCTGTTCTCTTCCCTAGCATGACTGAAGCCCCATCACATGCAAAAGAAACGAAACACTGACCTAAAAAGTCCTCGTTAAAATCTCTTCCAAGACACTCCATTAACGCCTTTGTGATGTCATCAGCCGTTGTTCCATCCAACTCGATCAGCTCCCAAAAAAACGTTTCGGGCTCAGCATCAGCTAATGCTGAGCGTAGACACACAACAAGCACCGTTTTACCACTAATAGTGGTAGATTCATCGACCAAAACACAGAGTTTTCTTTGGTTTTCTGTAATGTCTTTTGCCATTTTTTTCTTCAGCTCATGAGCTATGTGGTCAATGATTTCGCCACAGGTTTTATTGGAGTGCAAAACCCTGCCCACGTTCAGCCCATTCAGTTTCTGTACATTCAAATCAATTGGCATGTCTGTGAATGGCCGGCTATGTTTGCCAATTTTATATGCTGTTCGAAAAACTCTGATAGTGGTGTCTAATTCAGATTTATGCATAGACTGCACTTGATGTTGAATAGTTTCACGTGAAGCAGATGTAAGGATGTCAGCAGCTTTTACATGGGCTTGTGATTCATTATGTTCATATTTTTTTTCTCAGGCTAGCTTGTTGTTTGCCCTTGTCAACACCGAAATGAGACACTGCACACTCCACCCCATTCAGTTGACAGTTTCAGTCCTTGTCCAGTGTGTATTCCCAAAGATTTGACATCTCTGCATATCCGACATCCTAGCTTCTTATCTTTAAGAAGGAGCCATGCATTGGTCTTGCAAAAATATTGCACCTGGTCCGTTGTCCAGCAGTCAGGTGCATCGCTTTGCCCGGTGTTGGTGGTGGCAGTTGCGCCAGCAGCAGCTAACGTTAGAGGCTCTGGAGGAGGCGGCGGAGCTAGTGCTAATGCTAATGCACTAGAACTTGGAGCAGGAGGATCAACCAAAGAAAGCTCCCCATCAGACACAATTTCCAACACAGGCACAGCATCTCTGGATTTGAAGTTTCTTCCGGCGACAACCGCTGTCTTTTTGCACTTTTATTAATCCACGCTAACATTTTAGAAATGCTAATTTGTGACGTGACTTGCTTTCCTTCTCTCGGGGGCGTGCCTGCTCTGTTCTATCACTCTACATAGCCACCCACTGGGTGGGAGTTGCACTGCATAAACACAACACACGTGCATCTAGGTATGTAAATTGTAAAGCATTAAAACATGGTTTTACTAACAGTTTTCAGTATGTTGTTACTTCGGCATTATTATTATTTTGAAACGTGTATTACTATTAAATCACGGTCAAATAGGTTAATTTTGACATAGTCGTTTCCACCACAGTATTTACATGGAGAAGATAAGCCCCGCCCCCTCTCCAGCACGTTCTGTTTGAATGACAGGAGTAAACAGCTGACAGCCGCTGTGAAACTCCAGCGGTTAGAGCGATGAGAATGTCCGTTCGGCACCTCATGACGCATCTACTGAGTACCGGGCGGCTGTATATATATATATGGATGTATAATAAGAACGGCGGGAGAGTGTTGAGTACTGGCACGGTGCATGAGTACCGGAGTACCGCCAGCATGCCGGTACTGAGCAAGAAGTGCCGGTACTCCATGGGTCAGAACCAGAAGTGCCGGTACTGCGTACCGGTGAGTACCGGCCCAATTCCAGCACTGTGTGCCAGGTAAAATACTGCATTAGCTTTTAATCTGTGGAAACCACTAGTGTGCAGCTGGAGAGAATCTACAGACAAAAAGTCACACACCAAAATACAAACAGAGCAGGGTTTCCGCTAGGATTTTTTCTCGCCGGTCAAATGTCCGGGCAGAATTTATTTTACCGGACACATTTGAAAATTACCGGTCATATTTCAATAATAATAATAAGAGTTGTGTAGCAGAGTTTCCGTTAGCAGGTAATTACCGGACTATGAGCAGATATGCTTCAGTTTAAAACTCAGTTCACGGGGCTCATTTTTATATTGCTTCAGTTTATAATCGTAACAGATCGAAAAATTCAGATTCATTTTTCAATAAATTATTCCACAAACAACAAACAACATAATTATTACATTCAAACAAACTACTTGTAGTAGATAACGTACATTATTCAAAAGTTTACATTAACTTTGAATAATAACACGGGAGAAACGGATCCTCTCTTTTCCCCTCTCCCTCCCTCTCTCTCTGACAGCCCGTCAGTTTCTCATGCAGCTCCTGCAGCTCGCTAAACAGAGGGCGGGGCTTCAGGTGATTATGCAGAGCTGCGTGCTGATCTCTCTCGCGTGTCCGGTTATACTTCACTCGCGTTTATGTCCATATCGATCAGATCCAGCTCTCCTGATCGGCCTTTATAGAGAGCACCGATCAAACTATTAAGAGTGAATATCGGCCGATAATGACCGGCGGCCGATCTATCGGAGCCTCCCTAATTATTACCAGACATTTTGACCGGCAGGTTTTGAATTTACCGGTTTTTAATACATTTTACCAGCTAAAAACCGGTAATTACCGGCTAACGGAAACCCTGAAACAGAGGTGGGAGAAGTACTCAGATCTTAGATTTTAGTAAAAGTAGAAGTGTTCAGATCTTGTGCTTAAGTAAAAGTAGAAGTACTCTGATCTTGTACTCGAGTAAAAGTAGAAGTACCCGAGTGTAGGAATACTCTGTTACACTAAAGGTCCTTAATTCAAAATGTTTCTCAGGTAAAAGTAGAAAAGTATTCTCATCAATATAGTGAAAGTAGCGACAGTGAAAGTAGTCATTGTGCAGATTGGTCCATTTCAGAATAATATATATGATATGTTTTATAATGATTGATCATGAAAGTGTTCTCAAAGCTGGTAAAGGTGCAGCTAGTTTGAATGACTTTGTATACTGCAGGGTAGCTGGTGGATTTACTCCAGGTGGAACTAAAGTCTGATTTAACACTTCATTATATTTCACATCATTCATCCACATCTGTGAAGTAACTAAAGGTATTAAATACATGTAGTGGAGTCAAAGTACAATATTCACCAGGTGTCCAAATTCATTCTATAACAAGAGTAAAACGGGGCTGGCGTTCGCCCACTGGTGGGAATGAAACCCTTGTCGAGCTCGGGAGAATCTTTTTTTAAATGTTCATCATGTGCTTCTTCCTCCCCTCCAGCTCCTCTTCCTCGTCCTGTCTCTGCTGCAACTCTGTCGTCAAGTGTACGCTGTAGGGGAGCAAGGGCTGATGGGATACTGGAGGACTCCCTGCAACTGGCTGGAAGTGAGTCTACTGCATATGCATTAACACACACAGGCAAACATATAACTATCAACATACTATGATATCTTTTTGGCTTGCACACAACTTTAAGACACAGTAAACACACAGAAACACACACACACACACACACACACACACACACACACACACACACACACACAACACACACACACACACACACACACACACACACACACACACACACACACACACACACACACACACACACACACACACACACACACACACACACACACACACACACACACTACCTGCAGAGTAAATAAGCCGGCGTTATACACTCCAAAGTGGCAAAAAAGCTTTCAGAACAGACAAAAAAATCCTTAAAGACTGAGTTAAGGCCACATGCCAATGAGGGTTTGATCCACGCAGCATTTCAGTGACTGAGGGGCAATCCTTGTGCTTATTTCCCATTTGCTTATCGGTTTTTAACACGATACACACCCTCCACTAAAGGTCCTAACATTCCCTGTGGCTCCCTCCGGATGTCAGGTGTACGTGGGACACTAAAAGAAAAACGACGGATCCCAGTTTTTCAATCACAACCAAATAATTGCTTTATTCTGCCTTTTGTTTATTACTTTATTTATCGTTTACTACACAATAACATTTCAGATGAATGAAATTCAGTTCAAGATTATTTGTTTCAAATTAAGATGTTTTCTTTTCTGATCCACATTTGCATGCATTTCTCATTATTTGGATGAAGCACTTGCGGGTCATTCAGCTGATCCTTTGCCACTCCAGTTTATCATTGTAACTACTCGGTTAATAATGTCGCAACGATGTCATCACTATCACTGAAGTGAGCCATCATGAACGAACTTATGCTAATCATAAATCTATCGATCATAAATCTATCGTTTAGATTTATGATTCAAAAATAATAAAAGTAGGATAGACATGTGGATATTATCCGGCTGAACACAACGTGCATTTATCTAACAGGTTCGTTTTCCACAGACCTTATTTCGAGCTATTTTCCAAAATCCTATGGAGAAATCCCGTTGCTTTCTGTCGAGGGAATCCGAACGAAGCTTACTTCCGGGTTTTAGGACGCGTCACTGCACCACTTGCATAGACCATTATACATCCTACATATTTATTATACATCAATGCATAGACCTCACAGCGGGCGGAACCTGTCATAAAGTCCGCGAAAATGAAGCCCGCCCATTTAGAGGGAAGATATGATTGGTCAATTGTACTGTCATTTGACATTACTCTCTCGTTGAGTTACTATAGCTGGCCCTCTGTGAATGTAGAGAGGGACCAACCGGGACCAACAAGCTCTCCCGTCTTCACAGTAACTCGCAGAGACGGCATTTAACCCTTCACATTCCAACAGAAACTGAACAGGCAGATTCGAAGGATTTATTTCTTTGGAAATATTATTTTAAATACAATTAAATCAAGTTATTTTGGTAAAATTAATGAAAAATGTAACAACAAAAAAATATAAAAAATAATATTTTTTTTAAAATGTTGTTTTTTTTAAATGTTTTCAAATATTATTTTTTAGAATATCTTAGGCCCTCACAGAGGGCCTAGAGGGCCCTGACGGCTCGCCACTGCATATTATTTTCGAATCAATAATTTTTCAAATTATGATTTTTTTTTTTTTTTTTTATATAACCATTTTTCCTCCTGGTCTCTCGCGCCCCCCCTGGCATGCCTCTGCGCCCCCCAGGGGGGGGCGCGCCCCACACTTTGAGAACCACTGCTTTAGTGTAAGTTATCTCAACGGTTTGGTCACCATTTATGTAAAACAAGTATTTGCGAGGAACACATTTATATGATCATTAGCCTATAGTTATTAAAAAAATAAGAGAATAAATGAAAAACGGGTATGAAATACTATAGTAACACAAAAATACAGTTTAAAAGGGGAGTGATTAGTAAAATATCCATAAAGAAAACGTAAATCTGTGTACAGTTCTGTTTCATATGGATGCTGAGAGATGTAGGCTATCCATAGATCTCTTCATTTTGCTCTCAAAGTGCACCAGATTGATGCTTTTAACTTCAATATTTTAAAAATAATCTTCCCGGGGGAGCATGCCCCCAGACCCTCCTAGAGGAGGTCCACCCCCACCTAAAACATGTTCACATGGATAGGATACTAAATACATTTGCACACTTTTTATATGGTGGCCTATGTCCATATGTTTCTGTTTTGGTGGTTGTGCCACAACCGTGCATGTATGCAGAAGTCATAGGTGCGCTAGAAAATAGCACTATACCCTGCATGTGTGTGAAAGACAATAGACTTCACAGCATGTTTTTTGAAATTGAAGTTGCGTTGGTGTTTGTGTGTTGGTTGTTGACGGCAGTGTGTGCCCCCCCTTGGTAAATGATTGTCCCCCCATTCGATTTGTTCTAGAGCCGACAGCTAAGGGAGTTGTCGACCCTCCACTTCGTGTCGGGCCGAACCACGCCCCCTGTGATATAATGAGCATATACCACGGCCTGAAGTGAGCTATTGCTTTTATAAAACGGTTACCAAGTGTGGCAATATGAAAGAAAATACACACTCTAATTTAAATAGTTTTTATTAGTAAATAATGATGTTCAAAATAAAATAGTCCCTCCGTTGCCTTCTGCACGAAACATAGTGCGAGGTGGTTGCTATGCAACAACATTAACAGCTCGCGAACATATTAGACAGAGAGCGTTGATCCATTATTTGGCTATTTATTTACATTCATTTGTATGTTGCCGTTTATTGTGCACCCACTGAAAAACTGTCCAGCATCAGTAGCATGGCTTACGAGGTTACTTGTATAGGTTGAGGACGTTGTTCTGGCTGTTGCTTGGCGTGGCGAGAATATTGCTCCACTTTCTCCGGTCCCCGAGATTTGGCTTCCAGTAGCTCTGGAGAGAGCTTTCGCACCGCTCATAATTTCTCTACTTTGTTTCAAGACCCGCATCAGAAAGCTTTTGAATAGTGGTACTTTTCCAGTTGGTCTACCTGCTCTTCACGTAGCTCTGCATGTCGTCGTTTAGGTGTTTTTCTTCTTCTGGAGATAGGTATTCCTCAATTCACTCCTCCATAGTAAGACCCCCCCGGAGGTCGAAGTTAATCTTAAATGTTTCCATCTTATGCTTTGTAAGTTTGTTTCGTAACGGAAGAAATGTAAATATATTTATAAAACTGACAAGTCAAATCAAGATATCCCTGCCCTAATGCCAAAGGAACTGCACACTGAATATGTTTTGCCGTTTGATGTCTATGTCTGGACCGCTGCGTAAAGAGGAGGGTTTCTGCCCCGTTACTTCTCCGCTGCTTTCTTGCAGTTTGCTTTTCAGACCAACTAGGCCATAAGGTGAACCCTGTTATCGTTTCAACCCGCTCCACAGAAGTAGAACTACACAATCTTTAGTTCATAAAAAAGAACGAGTCATGCTTATCCACCAAAAAAAAGTTCGTCGCTAAAATTCCTGTCAATTCTTCTAGGCACGTAATTATTGGCTGAACTAGTCCCTTCAAAGCGTAATAATATCTTGGTCAAAAGTAGTGCCACGGTCCGTCACGTGATCGCGCTACACCAATTGGGTAGCTGCATATACCGGTATCAACAAACAGATTTGGAAAAAATGGCGACCGCCATGGTTTCATCGAGTAGCGGGGACGAGGAAAACGCACCAGAAAGTCTCAAAAAGTCAAAATTATCAACACACAAACATTGTTACATGCATATTACGTCTGTGAAGCACGAAAAGGTTGATTATTTTACCAATACAAGATGGAATACGTACAGGACAAGCTTACAACGGTGGCATTGATTTTGAAGTTACAAATACAATATTATCATATTACAATAATAATAATAATAATAATATATATATATATATTATATATATCTATAATAATAATATATATATATATCTATAATAATAATCTATATATATCTATAATAATAATCTATAATAATAATAATGCAATTCATCAAATTATTATATGATGAATGAGTAAATAAATGAATCAATGGTCATTGGTATAAGTACTGCATTTTATTGATCTAAATTACTTAACGTAACAAGTTAACCTTCTTCTTGGACGCAGCTATGTATGAAATCAAGTCATGTTTATTTCAAGAGTGCATTTAACATGTACAGGGTAACAATAACAACAGACAGACACAAAGTCCTCAGTCTAATGGAATAATCCACGAGCTCAGCCAATGAACCTAGCGATGCGAACATGGTAGTCCAGGAATGTTGTTGTAGCTGGAGTTGGCTGATAAACGCTGCTAGCCAATGTTGATTCGATGGTCAACTCTGTTCCCAGATAGTAAAACCTCTCACAAATACCGCGTATATAACGCAAATACCTCGGACTTAGTGATGTATTAAGACATATGACAAAACATGACATAAAACAAGCATACAGCACTGTTTAGAATCCATTTGGTCTGGTTTAGCGTAACCATGTAGGCGGCCATCTTTCACTTCTGTTGACAATATGCAGCTACCCAATTGGTGTAGCACGATCACGTGACAAACCGTGGCACTACTTTTGACCAAGATATTATTACGCTTTGAAGGGACTAGTTCAGTCAATAATTACGTGCCTAGAAGAATTGACAGGAATTTTAGCGACGAACTTTTCTTTGGTGGATAAACATGACTCGTTCTTTTTTATGAAATAAAATTATGTAGTTCCACTTCTGTTGAGCGGGATTTCTTTTCTAAAGGACTTTTCGAGGTTCACCTTGCGGCCTAAACGGTATACTGTTTTTCTCAGACGCGGAGGGATACTGACTTGTTGTGAAAAGTAATTTACAATTCTACCCGTGGTATACGCTCAGTATATCACGGCTAAGAACCAATCAGATTGCTTGATTTGACTTGTCCGTTTTATAATAGTACTTTTACTTAAGATTAACAACTGTATGTGACCAGCATGTTTTTCTGGGATTGTGGATATGACAGATCATTTTGAGGAGTGTCTCTGTGTTTAATGTTATATATTTTTCATATCTGTGTCATGCAGTGTGGGTCTCACTTCTGTAGTCAGGGCACAGACTGTAGAGGGCTCTTTGGTCTTGACTTGGTCTCGGTTTAAGGGGTTTGGACAACAACATACTGCTAAAGTGTTTGTCTTATATTGTCCGTAGAAAACGTTGTTATGGTAATGAATGCCTCTTGTTAATGTAACCAAGCACAAATAAACACAAACAATTATATAAATTGAGTCAACACACTTTTTATTAATATGTAATGTTGAAACTTAATGCAGTGGGTGTTTTACAGTGGGCTTCACAGAGGAAAGAGTAGAAATCCACTGAAAACCATGCGATTAAACAACTCATCATAAACGCTGTAGCTGGAGGGCAGAACCATGTTGGCAACATCTCCCTTCTCCAGCTGAAGAACCATTGAGTTAGCCGCAGAGACGTAGCCATAGGCATCATTGTAATCTTGAAGCCTCATCTTCATCACGTTGTTGAGAGCGAATTCAAGAGCGGTATCTGATACAAAGCGGCTTCCCCACATGTTGAAGCTGAAGTAGTAGACTCCTTTGACGGGGGCTGTGAAGATACCTGCATCACAGGAGAAGGTCAGTGAGGGGAGATTGTTTCTGCTGCTTCAGCAGGACTTAAGGATGGGTTTTTTTTAAATATGGAACATGTAGGAGCTCTTAACTTTGTTCTATTTTCTACCATGATCAACTGTAGGAAAACTAAGAGATGTTTTAATGGTTTCATTAAGAAAACTCTTAAGAAAGCTTACAGTCACACATCTACTGTAAATGAATATTAGTGTGTGTGTGTGTGTGTGTGTGTGTGTGTGTGTGTGTGTGTGTGTGTGTGTGTGTGTGTGTGTGTGTGTGTGTGTGTGGCCTAGCATTACTATACTTGTGGGGACCTAAATCTGTTTACACAGTCACGTGTGGGGGCTCGCCTCCCTTATGGGGACAAAATGGAGGTCCCCATTAGGGTGAAGACTTGGTTGGGTTAGGGTTAGGGTTAGGCATGTGTTGGTTATGCTTAAGGTTAGGATAAGTCTCCAGGAAATGCATGTAAGTCAATGTAATGTCCCCTGAAGTGATGTATACATGGTGTGTGTGTGTGTGTGTGTGTGTGTGTGTGTGTGTGTGTGTGTGTGTGTGTGTGTGTGTGTGTGTGTGTGTGTGTGTGTGTGTGTGTGTGTGTGTGTGTGTGTGGTGTGTGTGTGTGTGTGCGTGCGTGTGTGCGTGTGTGTGTGTGTGTGTGTGTGTTCAGTACCTGTAGTTGGGCTGTAGGCCTGGCCGATATTGGTGAAGACTTTAGTGTACTTCAGTATTGAGTTAGTGCCGAAGGGTCCGACTACTCCTGTATCACTGAGACCGGCTGAGAACGCCACCTGAGGACCGGCTGTGAGAAAGAGGAGGATGCAGCAGAGTTTGATATTTGCTGGTATATCAGTATACCAGTTATATTCTTATTCAATACTTTGACTCTTCATAATAGTTTATGTTTCTTATTCCTTCTCACTGGAGCTCATCCTGGCCTCTAAAGCTGAACACATTTTAAAATTGTTATTAGTATTATTGTAGATGTCACTGTGGAGCTCTGTCACAACTGTACATCAACATATAAGTAAGCATTTTATGTAAACATTTAACCTGCTTTCACTCCTTGGATATCAAACTCCCCCTCTTTCTTCCCTGTCCCCCCTCCATCCTCACCCTGAGTCCCCGTCCAGAGCAGACAGAACAGCAACGCCAGAAAAACTGCAGCTCTCCTCATTCTGAATTTTCGCTGTTCAGACAGAGAAGTGTGACACGTCTCGCTCTGTCCCCGTCTTTATATACACGTTAAACAGGTCACGAGGTCGTGAGAATCCAGCAGATGTCCTTGATAACAAACGTGAAAAACATCCAAACGTCCTTGACATTAACCTGACTTTAAAGGAAACAACAACTTGAATTTTGTCCTTGAACATAGGTTATTATGTATGCTTTCAAAAGTAACATATGTAATGGCTAAACTGCATTCTTTCATATTTGTTCTCAGTGTGTAAAGGTTGTTTTCCTAGACTTGTATGAAAGAGGACATATTTTGCTCATTTCCAGGTTCATATTAATAATAATAATAATAATAATAATAATACATGTTATTTATATAGCGCTTCTCCTGGTGCTCAAAGCGCTTATACATATTAGTATGTAGTGTCTCTACTTTAAAAAGTCCTCTCCTGCTGATGTTCAGGTGTATATCAGTATGTAGTGTCTCTACTTTAAAGAGTCCTCTCCTGCTGATGTTCAGGTGTATATCAGTATGTAGTGTCTCTACTTTAAAGAGTCCTCTCCTGCTGGTGTTCAGGTGTATATAAGTATGTAGTGTCTCTACTTTAAAGAGTCCTCTCCTGCTGATGTCCAGGTGTATATCAGTATGTAGCTACATGTCTCCATGCTTTAATTTTCAAAAAGCTCTTTATTTTGTTCATACTGCCTGTGCTGCAGCACCTCTTTTCACCCTCTGTCTGAAACCAGAGCCCAGTCCGCTCTGATTGGTTAGCTGGCCGGCTCTGTTGTGATTGGTCGACTGCTTAGAGATGTCCCGCTCCTTAGTCTACCACGTGCAATGTCAACAAACAGCACAATAACCTTGTATCACATAAATGCAGCGATTTCCAAGTTTATATTGAACAGACTAGATGTGACATGGCTCCAAGTTAAAGGCACGCTGTTCATTTAAGCTGGTCATCTTTGATTGGGTGGATTCAGTTGAAAGTGACACTACTATGGAATTAGAGCACTGCCTGAGAGATTATATACTTAGCTGTTTGTTAGCAAGTTATCCAAACTAATTTAAAATGTGTCATCTTTTGCTTGGATGGTTTTAGTCTCAACGACAGGCAGTGGAAACGAGAGGGCAATAGCATAACTATGTGTCTTTTTCATGCAATCAAGAACAAATTAACACAAACGTTATATTAATAGAGTCAACACACTTATTTATTAATATGTAATGTTGAAACTTAATGCAGTTGGTGTTTTACAGTGGGCTTCACAGGGCATAGAGTAGAAATCCACTGAAAATAGTACGATTATACGAATCATCATAAATGCTGTAGTTTCCGATGAGAACGATGTAGACAACATCTCCCTTCTCCAGCTGAAGAAGTATTACGTTAGACGCAGAGACATAGCCACCTCCATCATTGTAATCATTAAACCTCATCTTTCTCTGGTCGTTGTGAAAGAGTTCAACACCCGTCCAAGTTTGACCGCTGTCTTCCCACGCGTTGATTCTGAAGTAGTAGACTCCTCTGACGGGGGCTGTGAAGATACCTGCATCAGAGGAGAAGATCAGTGAGGGGAGATCAAGAGCGGGTTAAAATAACTTCTTTTGGAGCCTTTGGGTTGGTTCTATTTGCCCTCCGAGATCAAATGTAGGGAAACGAAAAAGATTTGAATGATTTTAAAAAAGTAATTAGAAAGCTTGCAGTCACACTTGTCAGGCAGGGGCTCAGTCGGTAGGGGCTTGGACTGTGAGCCAAAGGTCGCCGGTTCAAGTCCCCACACAGACCTAAATATGAAGTGTGGACTGGTACTTGGAGAGGTCCCAGTTCCCAGTGGTACCCTTGAGCAAGGCACTCCCCATTTCTCCCCGGGCGCTGTACTAACTGCCCACTGTTCCTATAGGCTCCTAGTACTAGGATGGGTTAAATGTTGAGGTCGACTTTCACTGTGTGTGCTGTGTGCATGTATGTGTGACAATTAAAGAGGGACCATCCTCCAATTCTATCTACTCTATCTGTAACTTTGTGTGTGTGTGTGTGTGTGTGTGTGTGTGTGTGTGTGTGTGTGTGTGTGTGTGTGTGGTGTGTGTGTGTGTGTGTGTGTGTGTGTGTGTGTGGTGTGTGTGTGTGTGTGTGTGTGTGTGTGTGTTACCCGTAGTTGGGCTATAGGCCTGGCCGATATTGGTGAAGACTTTACTGAACTTCAGTGTGATATCGGTGGTGAAGGGTCCGACTGATCCTGCATCAGTGAGACCGGTTGAGAATGCCACCTGAGGACGGTCTGTGAGAAAGAGGAGGATGCTCACAGAGAGATGAGAATTCATTAACAAACTGTCTATTAAAACAAAAAAAGTCAGTGGTTTGGATTCCAGCAGAGATTGATATTTAATATTCTCCTCAGGATACCAGTTCCTTTCTTTAAACAACATGTTTACTCTTCATAATAGTTTCTGTTTCTCACCTGCGTTCTCCCTCTGGAGCTCCTCCACCTCCTTTTCACTGGAGCTCATCCTGGCCTCTAAAGCTGAACAACATTGTTTTAGTTAAATAAAGTTATAGTCTCTTATTTTCAATGTAACTGTTGCAGATCTTATTTTAAAAGATTGTTCTACCATACTATAATATTCACTTTTCAAATTCACAGGAATATTTTGTTGCCTTTTAAACTGCAAACAAATCCCACATTTTTAAAAGAAAACTATAATTATATTTGTCATTTCTCCTTTGATTACTTTGTACTCCTACCTGTGCTCTTATTCTCACTTGCTGTGACTCGAGCCAGAAGATCTGCAATAAAGAGAAAAAGCAGGTTAACAGCAGCAAAATATCTCGTCAATTTGTTAGTACTATTTCTGTTAAACATATAATTGACTTCTCTTTTCTCACTTTTAAGTTCACCATCTGTTTTTTACATTAAACAGCCAATCTATATATTTGTTATGAGTTTCTGTTTCTGTGTTCTCTCTCTGGAGCTCCTCCACCTCCTTTTCACTGGAGCTCATCTTGGCCTCTAAAGCTGAACAAATATTGAGTTTTTCTATTAGGATGATACTAAATGTTACTCTGGAGCTTGACCAAGTAGGGAAACTTTCACACATTAACTGTATATCTAAATCTAAGATATTATCATCATTGGTGTCAGTGATGATGATTGCATGTATCAGTGCAGCGTGACGTGGCTCTCAGTGTGTTTTACGTCAGCTGTGTCAGCTGTGTTGTCTTGCTCCAGCCTCTGGATCTTGATCCTGTGTTCGATGGCCATGTCTCTGATCTCCTTCAGCTCAGCCCAGACGTCAGTGCTCATCTGGGTCTGACTGCTGCTCTGATCGAGGGCTGCTTTCACTCCTTGGATATCAAACTCCCCCTCTTTCTTCCCTGTCCCCCCTCCATCCTCACCCTGAGCCCCCGTCCAGAGCAGACAGAGCAGCAACGCCAGAAAAACTGCAGCTCTCCTCATTCTGAAATATCGCTGTTCAGACAGAGAAGTGAGACACGTCTCACTCTGTTCCCGCCTTTATATCTACGTTAAACAGGTCACTGGCAAGGCCATGAGAATCCAGCAGATGGCTTTGATAACAAATGTGATATACATCCAAACGTCCCTGGACATCTTACTGATAGTAAAGGGGAAACAACTTGAATTCTGTTCCTTTAAAAAAAGTGTATTATTCCTGATTTTTCTATATCTCTTTTTTTGTGATTAGACCTTGTTTTCCTTGACTTGTATTAAACTAAGCTACCCAAAATCATCCGATATTTAAAAGAAACCTCTGTGTGTTTAACAGGTGTACATGGTGCTCATAGGGGAAGATGGTTTCTCACAAACAAGAGAACTACATGTCCCAGGATGCACTCTGTTCAGGAGGAACTCTCAAGACACCTTTATCATCAGGTGAAATCCCAAAACTCCACATAAAGTCAATACACAGATGCGTTTTACATCAATCTCACATCCTTATTGAGCTGCTTTGAACTGGTTTTGCTCATTTATAAAGGCGGTCTGTCTCTGACCCCACAGTGCAGCCGACAGCCTGGGCCCTGTGTGGGGGGTGCACATATGGCACGACAACTCTGGACCCTCCCCGAGCTGAAACATCAAACACCTGGACGTGTCCGAGGTAAAGAGTGACATCACCACACACATCCTTTACCCCAGGGGTGTCCAAAGCTTTTTCACAGAGGGCCACATACAGAAGAATATACGAAGGGCTGGGCCACTCACTAGAGGAGAGGTATATCGCCTCATAGGTTCAGTTATAAGTTGGAAACATCTATCAAATGTAGGTAAATTATTCTTGATACTTGAAAATGCTTTAAGAAACACAACAGCTCACAGCTCTCCAGAGGGTTTACTTTATTTTGTTAGCAGCTCATTCGGCCACATCATTGTTTTACTTTTGTTTACATATGCTATAATGCCATTCATCTTAATTAACTCAATTTATGCTAATTGTGCAAAGTGCCCAACATATGCAAGTTAGCATCCGGCAGTTTCTATGTACTTGGGACCCCTACTATACATTACTATCATAACACTTTGGGGTACTCAACATTTCAGGGTTCACTAGAATGTAAAATGAAATGCTGTAATTTAAATACTGCTTATTGTAATAATAGATACACATGTGAGATGCTATTACATATTTATTTGTTGTTTACCTTTTATATTTGTCCTGTCTTATAACCCAGTTCTCACGGGTTGGAATAGGTCCCACAAGAATAAACCCCGTATTTAATCAAGACCTCAGCCTCGTGTCATTTACTGGAGGGAGCTACAGTGAGAACTCGACTGCTCCGCATGAGTAGACTAGTAAAACGACGCCAGACGGCAGCGATCCATGGACGGCACGGGACATCTCCGTAGCAGCGTGTACAGCTGTAGCAGCCATCTACACAGCAGCACAAGATCCAACTACTTCTGGAAGGTCCAGGTGCTTTAGTGTAAATGTAGGTGCAACAAAGAGACTTTAAAGTGCCATACAAAGAAAATGGGACATTTGCATTGTTCATATAATCTGTGTTAATGTTATTTACTTACCTTTCAAATGGAAGTTAAAGGTTGTTAATATTGATTTGTGTATTAAGGTATCTGCAGTAAGTATTTGCAGACTAAGTAACAAAGTACATTTAAAGGACAATATCTTTCAAGTAATAAGTGTTGAAGAAATGTACCAAGTTTTTTTGTGGTTTGCCTATATCATTATCACTTGTGATTTTCATTTAAATAAGGCTCAATAGCTGCGTATAAGCTTAAGGTAACTCAAACCTATATCTAAATTGGCTAACTACTTAGCTTTAAAGATAATTAAATATTAGAGTTAAAACCAACTTAAGTAATCAAGTAAATGTCCAGATGTTGAGTCTTACACTAAGAGTGATGAAGTTGAGTGTAAGTAGAAAAACGAGCAACCACAGGCAACTGAAGATCCGAAAATGGATAGCCTTTCCACACAAGAGCCACAAAGGAGCCAAAGAGTCCGGAAGTTAACGGAAAAGGGCCAAGAACTGCACGATGAGCAAGTAACAAGACTTGTGCACCGATTTCAGTGTGAGCTACAAAAAGGTGAAAAGATATCACAAAGGAAGCCAAACAAGCGCTAAGTGGTCAATGCTCTAATGACCTGCTGCATGAATTACAGGCCCATATCAAACCTCCCATTTCTAGGTAAAATCATTGAAAAAGTTGTTTTTCAACAGTTGAGTAATTTCTTGCATTTAAATAACTGTTTTGATGTGTTCCAGTCAGGCTTTCGTCCAAACCACAAGCACTGAGACTGCTCTTGTAAAGGTCTTTAATGACATCCAGTTAACACAGACAGTGGCAGAACTTCAGTGTTAGTATTATTAGATCTCAGTGCTGCGTTTGACACTGTTGACCACAGCATATTACTAGACCGACTGGAGAACTGGGTGGGACTTTCGGAAACAGTTCTGAATTGGTTTGAATCCTACTTAAAGGACAGAAACAACTTTGTTTCTATAGGTAAATACACATCTGAGTTGACAAATATGACATGTGGGGTTCCTCAAGGCTCCATCTTGGGGCCCTCTTCTCTTTAACATCTACATGCTACCACTGGCTCAGATAATGAGAAACAACAAAATAAGTTACCATAGCTATGCAGATGACACACAAATTTACGTAACAATTTCACCAGGAGACTATGCTCCAATTCAAACACTGAGTAAGTGCATTGAACAAATCAATGACTGGATGTGTCAGAACTTTCTCAATTAAACAAAGATAAAACTGAGGTAATGGTTTTGGAGCCAAGGCAGAACGTATAAAAGTTAGCGCTGAGCTTCAGTGTGCAATGTTCAAAAACAACAGATAAAGCCAGAAATCTAGGTGTAGTCACGGACTCTGACCTGAGTTTCAACAGTCACATTAAAACTGTTACTAAATCAGCCTACTATCACCTAAAGAATATATCTAGGATTAAAAGACTAATGTCACAGCAGGATTTGGAAAAACTTGTCCATGCTTTTATCTTCAGTAGACTCGACTACTGCAATGGTGTCTTCACAGGTCTCACTAAAAAATCTATTAGGAAGCTGCAGCTAATTCAGAACGCTGCTGCTCGAGTCCTCACTAACACTAAGAAAGTGGATCACATCACTCCAGTTCTGAAGTCTTACACTGGCTTCCTGTGTGTCAAAGAATAGATTTCAAAATACTGCTGCTGGTTTATAAAGCACTGAATGGTTTAGGCCCAAAATACATTTCTGACCTCCTGCTAAATTATGAACCATCCCAGATCTCTCAGGTCTTCAGGGACTGGTCAGCTTTCTGTCCCCAGAGTCAGAACTAAACATGGTAAAGCAGCGTTCAGTTATTATGCTCCAAATATCTGGAACAAACTCCCAGAAACCTGCAGGTCCGCTACAACTCTGACTACTTTTAAATCCAGGCTGAAGACTTTTCTTTTTGTCGCTGCTTTTAATTGAACTATTCATATCTTAGACTGCACTGTAACTTTTATCCATGTACTTTTTCTTTTAATGTTTAATTGACAGCACTGTAACTTTTATCCATGTATTTTTTCTTTTAATGTTTATTTTATTAGCTTTTCTTTTAATGACTGATTTTAAATGCCATCTTCTTAATCTCTTTCATTTTTTGTAAAGCACTTTGAATTGCCTTGTGTTGAAAAGTGCTATATAAATAAACTTGCTTGCCTTGCCTTGCCTTGCCTTGCCTTGCCTTGCCTTGCCTTGCCTTGCCTTGCCTTGCCTTGCCTTGCCTTGCCTTGCCTTGCCTTGCCTGCCTTGCCTTGCCTTGCCTTGCTTGCCTTGCCTTGCCTTGCCTTGCCTTGCCTTGCCTTGCCTTGCCTTGCCTTGCCTTGCCTTGCCTTGCCTTGCCTGCCTTGCCTTGCCTTGCCTTGCCTTGCCTTGCCTTGCCTTGCCTTGCCTTGCCTTGCCTTGCCTTGCCTTGCCTTGCCTTGCCTTGCCTTGCCTTGCCTTGCCTTGCCTTGCCTTGCCTTGCCTTGCCTTGCCTTGCCTTGCCTTGCCTTGCCTTGCCTTGCCTTGCCTTGCCTTGCCTTGCCTTGCCGTGTACTTGCCTTGCCTTGCCTTGCCTTGCCTTGCCTTGCCTTGCCTTACATCACTAAGGTAAGCAAGACCTCCAATGATGTAAATATTGCTTATGAAGAGTTGAGGCTCATTGACATTCCCGACCATGAAACACGTCGCAGAGAAGACACCTGTGAAGCAGTTACAAAGACAATAATTGAGACTGCAAGAGAACGAATGGACACAAGAAAGGACAAAAGTCATGAAGAAGAAGAAATTGGTAAAAACCAGACAGAGTCTGTATGCAAATCTGTTGCCTCTGTTAAGAGAAGTAATGGCTCTCATGTCACCAGGTCCTCGACTCATTCTCGTAGCAACTCGAGAGCCACATCAAGAAGTTCATTGCTCTCTTCTATCAAAAGACAAGAAGCCGCTGCTGAAATTGCTGCAAATGAAGCGACTTTAGAAGTAATGTTAGAACAGGAACAACAGATCGAAGAACTTGATATACTGGAGGCTGAAGCTGCTCAGTTAAGAGCCAAACAGATTGCTGAAGCTGCTCAGTTAACAGCCAAACAGGAGGCAGAAAATGCTGAGAGACAAAGACAGTTACAAGCCAAGCGCAGACAACTAGAGCGATTAGAAACAGTAAAGAAGCTAAAAGCTGCAAAGCGAGACATCAAGTATATGAACAGAATGCATGCTCAGACGAAGAAATTAGCGAGCTGCTCCATCAACATGTTCCTCTGGTTGTGAAAGAAGAACTCAAGCATAAAAGCAGTGAACTGCAAAACCACTCACCACCTCAAGCTGCGACACAACAAAAACAAGAAGACAGTACTTCAGCTCTTATCAGAGCTCTTGCAGAGTCCATCAGTGCAAGTCGTCTACCTGTACCTGAACCTACAACGTTCAGTGGTGACCCACTGAGGTTAAATGACTGGAAGGTCTCCTTTCGTACACTCGTTGACAGGAAAAACATCCCAGCTGAAGAAAAGATATACTATCTAAGAAAGTATGTGGGTGGACCCGCCAAGAAGGCCATAGAGAGCTACTTCCTGCTAGGCACAGAGTCAGCCTATCATGCCGCGTGGACCATCCTAGAAGAGAGGTACGGTAATCCTTTCCTCATTGCTAAGGCCTTCAGAGATAAGCTTGATGCATGGCCCAAGATAAGTTCCAAAGACAGCGTAGAACTTCAAGAGCTCTCTGACTTCCTTCGCAGCTGTGAGGCTGCCATGTCACAGATCAAAGGACTTGAGGTACTTAACGACTGCAACGAAAACCAAAGGATGCTTGCTAAACTTCCAGACTGGTTGACCTCAAGTTGGAACAGAAAGGTCACAGAAATGGAAGAACAAAATCACACGTTCCCAACCTTAAGCCAGTTTGTTAAATTTCTCACACGTGAAGCCAAAATAGCTTGCAACCCAATAACATCTCTCCATGCTCTAAAATCAAGAGAAAGCGAAAAAGGCAAGATTTTAAGAAGTCCTGTATCAAACGTATTGACTACAGAGACAAATGAAACAGCAGACGCCACAAACTGTCTTTTCTGTGAGAAGGCAGGACACGGTCTGCACAAATGTTACAAATTCAGGAATGAGACAATCTCTGAGCGAGTCAAGTTTCTTCAAGAAAATAAGTTGTGCTTTGGCTGTTTAAAATCTGGCCATCGCTCAAAGGAATGTAAAAACAGAAAGATATGCGAAACATGCGAAAAGGGACATCCAACTTGTCTCCACGACAATCGCACCAGAGAAGAAAGAATGTCAACAAACCATGATGGGGAAAGAGAAAGCACAATGGAACGTCCACAAGGTAAAGCGGCAAGCACACCACATGAGGCAACATCCAATACAGTCTTCCAGAATGTTAAAGTCCCCCATACATCCACAATCGTTCCAGTGTGGGTGTCAGCCACAAGTGAGCCACATAGGGAAATACTTGTGTATGCACTCCTCGATACACAGAGTGACACAAGCTTTATCCTTGAAGAAACGGCAAAGGCTCTTCACACAAAGAATGAAACAGTGCAGCTAAAGCTCTCCACAATGGCTTCAAGAAACACAGTCGTGTCATGCAGGAAGCTAACTGGTCTCCAAGTGAGAGGAATCTACTCGGACAGGATAATACCTCTGCCAGTAACCTACTCAAGAGAATTCATCCCAGCAAACAGAGACCATATTCCCACACCAGAGACTGCGAAAGCATGGCCTCATCTTGAACACCTCGCAGATGAGATCGCTCCTCAGCAAAGCTGTGATGTTGGCCTGCTTATCGGCTACAACTGTTCCCAAGCTCTCGTCCCAAGAGAAGTGGTGCCTGGTGAAGGAAACCAGCCCTTTGCACAGGGAACAGATTTGGGCTGGAGTGTTGTCGGCTTTGGCAATCCCTGTCTCGACATTGGAGATATGATTGGAGTAAGTCACCAGGTAACCGTGAAGCAAGTGATACCAAGTCTCCAGTCTTCAAACCTCCCAAGGGAAGTACACTACGTCTGTAGAACACAGATTAAGGAAGTCTCACCTGCAGATGTCGTCGAGGTGCTGGAATCTGACTTTGTCGAAAGAGCTTCTGAAGATAACTCTGCAGATCAGGCCTCCAAAGGTCTCACAGCACAGCAACTTCAAGCCTCAAATGGGTTCACAGGCCCATACCTACTTTGGCAGAAAGAGCTACCAAGTGGAGAAGTCAAGGTGGGAGAGATCGTGAGTAGTGACCCAGAGCTTAAGAAGGCCCAGGTTCATGATACCCAGGCAAACGAAGTAAAGTCGCTACTAGATCACCTTCACAAATTCTCAGACTGGTCAAGAGTGGTTAAAGCCTTTGCCAGACACAAGCGCCTTGCAAAGGAAATTAAAGGTCTCAAGCCAAGGTCCTGTGAAGCCACATGCTTAGAGGAGAGGAGAGAAGCAGAGCTGACCATAATCGAGATGGTTCAAGAAGCAACACTCTCTCAAGAAATAAAGTGCCTTCAGCAGCATAAGGAGTACCATCTCCAACAAAGACCAAAGTGGATCAAGGACCGCAGAAACGTCAAGGTAAATGACGTTGTCATTCTGCAAGACAACACTATACCACGTGGCCAATGGAAGCTGGCCAGGGTTGTGGAAGTGTACCCAGGAGGGGATGGAAGAGTGAGAAGGCTCAAGCTGCTTATCAGCGACTCTACCCTGGATGTAAAGGGAAAGCGCCTCGCTAAACCTGTCTACCTCGAAAGGCCTATTCACAAGACGGTGTTGTTGTTGGAAGCAGACTAAGACTCAGTTACTCTCACTCACACTCTGCACTTAATAGGTCTAAAACGAAATAGTTAGTTTTACATTAATGTATATCGGTTTTTCTAAAAAAATTATGGAAATCACAGGTGATTTGGTGGGAGTGTAACTGTCTTCACTTTCTGTTGTTTATTTTGTTGGACGTTGTATTTTTGGTTCCTACCTTTTATGTGCAACATTATTAGAGGCGGAACTAATCTGCTGTGTTTTGTGTTACACCTGTTTGTTTAATCGACGCACAACTGCAGAGCAACGCAGAATGTAAAGAAAATCTAAGGAAACCAAGGGAAAATGCATATAAAGTTATCAGCCCCTCTAGGTGACTAGCAGCCTACGAGGTATGTTTTCGTGCTGGTTGTTTGTGTAATTGTGTGCGTTTGAGCTGCAGGTTTGTGTGTGTATGTATGTATGTATGTATGCTATGCGCTAGCTTGTGCTACATGCTATTGTTAGCTTGTGCTACTTGCTGTGTGGGATATGTGCGCCGTTTATTGTTTCATTGGCGGCATTAACAGTGATGACATATGCATATATTACATATTTATTTGTTGTTTACCTTTTATATTTTTCTGTCTTATAACCCAGTTCTCACAGGTTGGAATAGGTCCCACAAGAATAAACCCCGTATTTAATCAAGACCTCAGCCTCGTGTCATTTACTGGAGGGAGCTACAATATAAGTCATCATGAACACATCTGTCCATCAGACAGAGGGCTGCTGTGCCTCCTGTCATCATTAATGGACGTCTCTTTAAAATGACCGCTCAGAGGAGAGGAGGGCTGCAGTCGAATAGTCCATTTAGCTTAGAAACCTTCCTAACGGAGTGAAATGACCCGGAAGTCCCTCAGTGGCAGCCATGATAAGTGCCGTTCGAATTCTCTAGAATGATAGGAAAGGAGGTTTCAAACTTCCTTTATAACCTCCTTTAGCTTAGGAACCACTGGACCTCCCTAACCGAAAGGAGAGGAGAAAATGCTGCCCCACAATGCCTTGCAGCCGCAGCATTTGACGTCACACAACAGTCGGCCGTTCACGGAAACAATCGATTATGACGGAGAAATGATATCATGAAAGTTACGGTGCTTATTAAGCTTTTTAAAACGTATGTGGTAAGTTGCCAAAGTGCTTTGTTTTGAACGTTCATCAATATTATAATCAAAAAGAGAAATATGAACGTTAGTTTTTACTGAAATGATCAAATAAAGTCAACATTTCACTGAGCTGTGTGGGGTTTGTTCAACTTTTAAAAGATGTTTGAATGGTGATGTACACAGTGATAGGTGTTAAAGACTCACGTTTATAATAAATACATTTGTATTGATTTTAAGATATTTTCATAGTTCATACAATCATACTGGGATCATTTTTTGTATTAATGTAGACCGGAGGGAGAGGGTGACGAGCATAAGTTTCACTTTCCTTTTTTATTTCAATTCCAACTTTGGTCATGAAGAATATGTTTCTCTGTTGTCCACGTTCATAAAGCATAACACAACAGCATCAGAGCATGGTGCAGAGTCTCTAGATGAGTTTACAGTAGTCCCTCGTTCTTATTAAACATCCATGTTGTAGTCTGCTGTATAGAAAACTATAGTTTCCATAGTTTCCCCACAGCAGCAGACGCTCAAAATGACGTCCACTGGCACATCATAAACACGTCGAATAGTGAAAGTGCAGTCGGATTCTCTAAAGCACCGCAGTCTCTTCTCCTAAATCCTTTTGAATTCTCCTATCCACTATCCCTTAACCCCGTGACGTTTCACTCAGAGTTCAACGAATAGGAGATAGGGTTAGAACTTAGGAGCAGATTTTTAAACTATCCGAACGCAACCAAGTTCTCATTTCTCTAACCGCCTGCTGCTTCCCCTCCTCTCTCCTCGGTTCCCCTCCTCAGTCCTCCGCTCGCATCTCCTGTGGGCGGCACCAAGTCTCGAGGAGGGGAGTCGAGGATAGGAGTTGAGGAGGGGAAATTTGAGTATTGAGAGAAACCTCTGATGAAAGCAGTTTCTAAAATAATATCCAGGGGATGCATGCAGAGCTGTCATTGGCTGAGATAAGTCCGGCCGTGCGTCACGCCTCCACCGTTCCCGGAAATGCATCCGCGGAGGAGCCGTGGAGGAACCATCAGTGTATCCTCAGTTAGAGCTCCTCCAGAGAGCCTCCTCGACGCACGATCCTTGGTGTGCATTTAGAGAAATTAGATGTCCTTCAAAATGGCGCGCTGAAATTCATTTCCGGGTCACTACCGGAGGACCGAGGAGTCGAGGAGTCGAGGAGGGGACATTTGAGTATTGAGAAGCCTCTTATGTTTCTGTTCCTGTGAGTGTTCCTGAATCCTGTGTTCTTCAATTTCCCATCTCTCATTGCCTAAATGTATGTGGTTGTATGAAAGAGAAGGTCTGGAGTGTCAAAATAAAGAAAATGGTTGACTTATTTTGACCCAAATGTTATGCAATAATGCATGTAAATAAAATAAAAAGATTGGAGTTTCAAACTGATGAATAAAGTTCACTTTTTATGGGTAAACTAAACACTTGTCATTATTCTTTCCTGTTCTTTCTCTCCAGTGGACGAGAGCTTTGGACCTCACTTTACAATACAAACAAACAGTCATAAGCATTTGTCAATTTAAAAACACATTCACACATTTCTTATAAATAAATAAATAAAATTCATTTTCAGATTACTGTTATGCAGAGTAGCTTATTTTTTATAAACTACTCTGCATAACAGTAATCTGAAAATGAATTTATGCAACAAAAACACTTCACCACTCATCCAATTACAAATAGAGAATGTATGTTAACGCTGTTTAAGTATACGGTAGTGTTAAGAGTTTAAGAGACATCCTTTGTAGAACATGTACATGCTTTCATGTTAACAAACAGCATGATCTTTCAATCACTGCCCATCACATTTTGACACATAGTATTCCATTAAAAATGTGAAAAATATAAAAGTTCATTGTTATACTTTTTGGGCTTATTGTTGTAAACATTTTTACATGGGTAGTACATTCTTAACTCAAGTTGTGTAAATCTTAAAGTGAAGATTTTAACTACTGTTGTTAATATTATTTCAAATTGACCTCGTAAAGTATATACTTTAACTCCTGGAGTTGTTTATTGTATTCTAATGGTGTTTATCAATTTTGTGTTAATATTTTACACTCCAATATATATTCTAACACTGTGTAAAAAACACATTAAAGTTTAGATGTGAAAAATAATGCATTTATACTATTAATGCATTTATGGGTTTTTCTTTAGCGCCACTAGAGGGAGACAGAGTAAAGGCCTGGGCTCGAACCTGGATCTTGGATCTCTTTTGCTAGTCATCTAATCCTACTGGGGACCGCCGCTCTAAAGGGTGAGCTAGACGGCGGACCTTCTATCAATTAGTATTTAGTTACTTATATATTTGTTTATGTGTTTTTTTTTTTTTTTTAAAATACATATCTGTCTTCAACACTCACTACTAGATCCAGTGGCGAGCCGTGACTTTTATACCTAGGCCCTCTGACCTAATAATGAGTTATTACGTCTCAGCATATAGGCTACTTCAGCGGAATATCAAAACAACGGCCCGGGGTGCAAAACGCATCAATGGCAGCGACCCTCTACCACACAAAACAACACCATTTATATAAACACCTATCATGACAGGGCACCCACAGCCAAGTAACAATTACAAATGAATTAAGTCGGCACGGCGGCCCACATTGAAAATGACGTAGGCCTACCTTTGATGATCAAATCATCCTCCTGTCCTTTTGGATGAAGCACTTGATGGCGGGTCATGCAGCTGATACTTTGCCACTCCAGTTTATCATTGTAACTCAATCTTGAAAATGACTCGGTTAATAATTTCTCAACGATGTCATCACTATCACTGAAGTGAACCATCATGAACGAATTTATGCTAATTATAAATCTATCGATCATAAATCTATCGATTAGATTTATGATTCGAAAATAATAAAAGTAGACCTGTGGATATTATCAGGCTGAACAAAACGTGCATGTATCTAACAGGTTAACAAGTGTAGGTGTGTGTGTGTGTGGTACAGTGTGTAGGTGTGTGTTGTACAGTGCGTAGATGCGGCGGACAGACGGGTCTCAGTTGGTTTGGTGTCCTATGCTTAAATTGTAATACTTGTACAACTTTTGGCCCGTAATTTCAATTCCCCATTTCAGTGACCAGAGAGAGGGGGGGGGGGGGGGGGGATCTATCCAGTCTCTGATTGGGTTACGTTATTATGAGAGTGCTCTCATACTTGTTTGATTCTGAAATTGTATATATTTATATAAATATATGTGTGTGTGTGTGTATATGTCCGCATCTGTAGCCTGTTATTGTCGCATTATACCGCACTGTGAATGAATTAAAAGTAAATATATATGTAACTGTCTTCACTTTCTGTTGTTTATTTTGTTGCACGTTGTATTTTTGGTTCCTACCTTTTATGTTGAACATTATTAGAGGCGGAACTAATCTGCTGTGTTTTGTGTTACACCTGTTTGTTTAATCGACGCACTTGATAGTCGCAACTGCAGAGCAACGCAGAATGTAAAGAAAATCTAAGGAAACCAAGGGAAAATGCATATAAAGTTATCAGCCCCTCTAGGTGACTAGCAGCCTACGAGGTACGTTTTCGTGCTGGTTGTTTGTGTAATTGTGTGCGGTTGAGCTACAGGTTTGTGTATGTATGCTATGCGCTAGCTTGTGCTACATGCTATTGTTAGCTTGTGCTACTTGCTGTGTGGGATATGTGCGCCGTTTATTGTTTCATTGGCGGCATTAACAGTGATGACATATGCATATATTACATATTTATTTGTTGTTTACCTTTTATATTTTTCTGTCTTATAACCCAGTTCTCACGGGTTGGAATAGGTCCCACAAGAATAAACCCCGTATTTAATCAAGACCTCAGCCTCGTGTCATTTACTGGAGGGAGCTACAGTGAGAACTCGACTGCTCCGCATGAGTAGACTAGTAAAACGGCGCCAGACGGCAGCGATCCATGGACGGCACGGGACATCTCCGTAGCAGCGTGTACAGCTGTAGCAGCCATCTACACAGCAGCACAAGATCCAACTACTTCTGGAAGGTCCAGGTGCTTTAGTGTAAATGTAGGTGCAACAAAGAGACTTTAAAGTGCCATACAAAGAAAATGGGACATTTGCATTGTTCATATAATCTGTGTTAATGTTATTTACTTACCTTTCAAATGGAAGTTAAAGGTTGTTAATATTGATTTGTGTATTAAGGTATCTGCAGTAAGTATTTGCAGACTAAGTAACAAAGTACATTTAAAGGACAATATCTTTCAAGTAATAAGTGTTGAAGAAATGTACCAAGTTTTTTTGTGGTTTGCCTATATCATTATCACTTGTGATTTTCATTTAAATAAGGCTCAATAGCTGCGTATAAGCTTAAGGTAACTCAAACCTAATATCTAAATTGGCTAACTACTTAGCTTTAAAGATAATTAAATATTAGAGTTAAAACCAAACTTAAGTAAACAAGTAAAATGTCAGATGTTGAGTCTTACACTAAGAGTGATGAAGTGAGTGTAGTAGAAAACGAGCAACCACAGGCAACTGAAGATCCGAAAATGGATAGCCTTTCCACACAAGAGCCACAAAGGAGCCAAAGAGTCCGGAAGTTAACGGAAAAGGGCCAAGAACTGCACGATGAGCAAGTAACAAGACTTGTGCACCGTTTCAGTGTGAGCTACAAAAGGTGAAAATATATCACAAAGGAAGCCAAACAAGCGCTAAGTGGTCAATGCTCTAATGACCTGCTGCATGAATACATCACTAAGGTAAGCAAGACCTCCAATGATGTAAATATTGCTTATGAAGAGTTGA